AAACAATCTCACTTTTTGTCAGGGCTTGAAACCGAAAAAAAATTTTCCGGTTTCGGTTTCGGTTTCGGATACCGGTTTTGATTTTTTCCGATTTCGGTTTCGGTTTCCAATACCGGTATCAATTTTTTCCGATTTCGGTTTCGGTTTCGGAAACCGGTATTGATTTTTTCCGTTTTCGGTTTCGGTTTCAGATACCGGTATCGATTTTTTCCGATTTCGGTTTCGGTTTTGGATACCGGTATTAATTTTTTCCGATTTCGGTTTCGGTTTCGATTTCGGTTTCGGTTTTTAACGGTTTAAACCGGTATTCAAAACCGGTATCGAAAATCGGTTTCAAGCCCTGCTTAATATAATATTGTTAAAATTCCCAACAGTAAACGAATCAGGTCCGTTTCACTAATTTAACAGTAGGTATTAAATATTAGAAAATATAAATAAAATAAAGTAGGTAATTAATACTAGGTTTAGGACGGCACATTTGTCAAAACTTAAATAATTACAAACTTGAAACTATAATAACTGTCGATTTTAATATTAGGTTAAATTTAGGTACTTAGTTCTTATGATTATGATGGAATAGAAATGTAATTATCCCTACCTATAACTTATAACTTATAAGTAACTACAAAGAAATAGGTACCTACATCTTTTTTTATTTGGTCAGGTGCCTAATATATTAAAAATACTTTTTTTTTTTTTTTTTTGGTCTAAAAGTTAACATCGACGACAAAGGCCATTAGTCATAAACAAGGTTTTTATACAATAATACAAGTAACAATAATGATTAATAATTTTTTTTAAACAAGACCGAAAAGTTTTGTTTGTTTCATAAATTTGATTATATCCAAGTTGTTTTCTTGGTTGGGTCCGAGTGCAGAATCGAGGTTGTGAGATATGTTGTTCGCGGCCCGTTCTTGGTTGAACTTTAGACCGTCGGCAATTAGGTGTTTGACTGTTAACAAGGACCAAGGTTCCGCAGGTTTGACAGTAGGGGGGTTCCTCTTTAGCCATCAGAAAGCCGTGAGTAATTCTGGTGTGACCCGTTCGGAGTCTATTGAGTACCGTATCTTCTTTACGGTTAAGGTTAGGATTAGACCAACGGTATATGTCTCTTTTTATTTCATTTAATTTTGTGTTTTGTATGTTCCAGATTTTTTGCCATTTATATTTTGTACGTTAATTTATGAGTTTTTTCGCGTCGTCGTATGACATTTTATTACCTAATTAAGACGGTTTCTTTGTTGTTGATGGCGATTGAGGCTATTTCATTGCCTATTATGCCCGAGTGTCCAGGTATCCACATGATGACGATATTTTTACCCAGACAGGAAGCTAGGCTAAAAATACTTGGAAGTGGGTAATTGAGTATAGGTACTATTGTTTTTTTTATAGATAGACAACATCTGCAATGTTTGGATATTAAGTAGGTACCTATAGCCAACTTTCGAAAACTGTCTTGCAAGTTGCCGCATATAGGTACCTACTCGTTCTTAGCCAATTCTTACATCATTTAATAAAACATTTTTCGTGACTTATTATATATACTATTATATATTATATATTATTATACTTATCCAATATAGATTTGGGAGGATTAGTCCTTCCCCCATAGACGTAAATACTAAGTATAGGGTCCTCAAATACATTGAGTTCAAGGCTTCAAGCCCAAAAGCCAAAAGGTATCACAAACGAATAGATTGAGAGATTCGTCTTCCACCCACTACATACACATTATGGGTATAATATGATAGTGTGATACAATATTCTAAACAATCACAAACATAGAAAAGAGATTAAAATTAAATTACAATTAATTTATTGTATTAGGTTCTAGGTTACTTTGTACATTGTACGGTAGTGTAAAAATGTTCATTTCAGAACTTGGACACTTTGTACTATTATATAGATAAAGCATATATTATATTGTAAATATAAGTTATATACTCAAGTAGTAAGTACATAATATTGTAACAAATTAAAAATAAAATAAAAAGTAAATTAAAAATTGAGCTTGAGCCCGGCAACTTAGGCCATTAACTGTAGGTTTATTTTTGTATGTTGGTAGTAGGGGAGAAACGGTTGAAAACACGTTTGGTATGTATGGCGAGGATTTGTTGCTTAAGATCCCGGGTGGTCACCCATCCGGGAACTAGCAACGCCGGTCGTTACGTACACTCAGTGCGTTTTCGCAGTTGAGTGTACGCAGTGCGCCACACCAAACAACCAAAAAAAAAAATATTTTAAAATAATGTATATTAAATTATTAACAATAGTCAAAATAATCCCTCCCCCCCGCTCATTTAGATAATACCTAATTTGAAAAAATCTATTATTTCGTAATTTTTGTTCTGTACTTGAAATAATTATTTCAGTTTTATAATAAGGTTTGTTAAGGGGAAAAAAAAATTGGTGTGTACACAGTAAATATTTTTGAGTAAGGGACAAAACCGATTTTGAGTGCGCAAACTCCCTGTAATTTTAAAATACGGTAAATATTTTGTGTAAGCGGAGAATTCGTGGACAACAAATGTGAAATCTCCCTGTGATTTTTGTTACGGTAAAATAATTGTGTTCAACGGGGACAATGGGACATCCTCTATTGAACGTTGTGAAATTACCGCGGTGAAAAAAAAATGTACTGTGAACATACAAATGTATACTTGTGTATTATTTTTTCGCTGGCATAGGTATTTCTTAGTTCATAAATTATATAAGTTAAAATATAATTTATTTTTTTGTACAAAAAAATGTCTTAGTTTTTACTAGGTACATACTAGTATAAAGTATAATACATAGAAGTTGTAAATAAAGTAATCACAAAAATAGTCTTCACCCAGAATAACTATAGACTCGGGATTTAATTTTTGTAACATTGAAATGTATAGATAGTGATTGGTGGTGATACGGCCGCATACAGGAGACAGCTGGAGTCTTTACTCTTTTGCTAGAAATATAGGTAATCAGATTTTATATTATTTTATTATGGTATAATTTATCTTGGTACTTTGATCTTCATAAGTACCTACAAGGGACAAGGGTTGTGTGCTTGTGTCTGATGGTTCGTATTCTAGTTAACGTCGTTTGTAGTTATTATTATTATTATTATAATAAATTAGTCAAATTTTGTTTCCTTATGTTTTCAGGTTTAAATAAATATAAAATAAATGAAACCGAATTAAAATCAAAAATATTGGTTAGATAATTATTATTCATTTAATTGTATTCTTGTTTAACAATCATTAGGGTAGGTAATTATTTAAAACGTCTAAGGAGTATTGTTCAAAAATCTGTTTTTCTAAATTTATATAAAATGCTTCATTCATCACTTTCTGTTCCAACAAGTTCCGCATCTACCTATAGTGAATGAACATTTTCAGCGTCGAATATATATAATATATATATTATATTGTATAAGAGCAACTTTATTACAAACTCTAAGTGGTCTATAATCTATATGACTATATATTATTTTATAGCTATTGAAAATTTGGAACAATTAAAAACAATTTTCAATACAGAACACTCATAGTGTGCAGAGGTTTTACGTAATGACTAATGTAATATATTAATATAATATATTATTATGTTACCCATATCAAATCTATAACTTTCACTAATAATTTAATAAAAATTAAATACTTGAATTTGTATAGATACCTAACTAAAATAACACATTTTAATAATTTAATGTTTATACCTCCCTCCTTCTTCCACTTCTTTATAATTAGTATTATACACACACGACAGTACGACACACTATAATTATTATAAAATAAAATATTAATATATTATATTGAATATTGATTAACATTTACATTAGATTTATTAAAAATGAATGTTACGTGTTTAGGGGGAGTGGGGGTAGAGTGGGGGTAGAGACTTAATATACTTATTTTTAAAATTCTAATGCTGAAACCCCCTAACATTAAGGTCTAGTTAAGCCTTCTTAATTTATCTCCCCTCCCCTCTAAGTTATTTACGCTATATCATTTTAACTTTGAAACAATAATTTTTAATCATCAACACCTCACGAAGAGAGGTGCAATGAAGAGAGAAGAACCTCCCGTTTATACCACTGCGGCATCCTAGCATCAAACACATTATTATATTATAGAATTCCGGAGCTCTGAAAAGGAAAGATGAGAACGAGCCTTCCAGATCAGTTTACTGAATCACTCAATCCCAATCTGTGCAATGTTAACCCTACCTTGGAATTTATTTACAAATCAAAACTAATAAGAAAAATCTTAAATAGTGTTAGTCCAATGGCCATAGTCGCCGTGGATTTTTTCCTAATAAAAGAAAAATAATGTTTAAATATTATATTGGTATCTACTTCGTAGTTATTGAATATCGAAACAGTTTAAAAAAATATATTACTTGGATTTCGTAGTAGTGGTTATCGATGCAATCGTAATCGAAGCAAATGATATTCGTGTTAACATACGTGGTGTAATATCGAATTCGTACTAATCACTTGTCGTAGTAATAGTGATATCCCAGAAATCGTAGCAGGCTCTATCGGTAAAATCCAAATATGTCGGAGTAATATAATATAATATCGTAGTAATATATGTTCGAAGTAATTGATATCGGAGCAGTATTATGGTTGACAATAAAAATTTTTTTTCGGAGTAATACAAGTTCATAGTAGTATATAGTCGTAGCACTGGTGTTATCCCGACTAATCATAGGAAATGGACTGTAAACGAATGGTGGGCGGGTGACGGGCATAGAGTAATATTACTCTATGGTGACGGGCCGCAAAAGGTTCCTCTGTTATCATCAACACACATAATCGATTTTGATTAATCGATTTCACAGATTAAATGAAAACAGCCAAGGTTGGTATGAAAGAAATCATTAAATCGCAATAAATTCCAGTATAATTATGTAACACGAAAAATCTTAGTCGGTGCTATTAAATAAATAAATTCAAAACTGGAAATCCTCCACAGCCTTGATGAATTTCTATCATAAAATTACCGTGTTGAGATGAACCCATAGTTTATGACCGTCGCAACTAACAGGTAAGATAGGGTATACAAATTACAAAATATAATCGGATGATCTTTCAAAATTGTATTTATATTATGCTAATGTAGTAATGTCATTACATTTTTTATTATAACATGTAGTAAACATTTCAATGGAAGTCCTCGAAGAGAATCGTAAAGTATTGTTACGCACCAATGATCGTCTGACTAGTATAAAATCTATTGCTGTAGAAACTGAAGAAATTGGTACTGCGATTGTTCAAGAATTGGGAGAACAAAGACAGACACTCCATGGTACTCGCAATCGATTGGAAGACATTGACAGTTCCAGAATATCTTCACACCGTTATGTCTCTGCTATTAATAGACATGTTTTCCAAGACAAACTTATGCTTGTACTCATTATTATTATTGAGGCCTGCTCTTTAGTTGGACTTATCTATATAAAATTTATAAAACATTAATTTTGTTGAAACAATGCATAACAATACACTGCTATAAAATTATACCATTTAAAATTTATTTGAATATTGTTTCTATATTTTTATTAAGTATTTTACATTATTAACACATTTAAAAATATACATGTTTATTAAATCTAATGATGTGTATAATCATTACAAACTAGAACAAATCATTGCTTAGTCTATAACAATATTTCATAATTAAAACTGAAGCATAAACATTCACTTGGTTAAAATGTATAGGTAGACAGCTGGTAGAATAAAATAATTATATATTGATCCTTTGATATAATAATTAATTTATAATTGAGCGGCTTCTGCAACTTTTACTAATTGACTGTCAGATAAATCATCAACTATATGATTAGCATACTCAAAACAAATTTCATTTGGCAATTTAGTACCATTTGATCGATACTGCTCACAGTCAGGGTCATAACATTTTTGATACCAATACATTTCATTCAAATCAACTATGTACTTAACATTATTGTTTTTGTGTTGCCGTTTAACGTTTCCACAGTAACGGTTTTTCACAATACTATAAACTAATTTGTTAACTGAAGGAAAATAATGGTTTTTGAAGATTTTTCCTGGGAACACAAGATTAGAGATAAACCTATCTATTCGTGGAAAAGGTGAACTTGTGTAAGATGACTGACATGTACTTTGATTTTTATTATTAAAATGTGCCCGATCACCATGTGATTCAGCAACAATTTCACTCGTTATATTTGTGAAATTTAACAATACAGTATCATCACAACCAAATGTTATTAAAGACTTTAAGAATATTTGTTTATCAAAACAGTCCTCGCAATGAGCCACTTCAGGAAGCTTATACTTGTTAGTATTGCTCAGGACTAATGGAACATTTTTTTTCAATTTTGATGATTTAAATAATCTAAAATGTCTGTTTCTTGAATATACACTTTCGTCACAAAACAATCCTTGTTGAGTTTTTAAATTTATAAGATCTTTAGTAGTTATCCCACTGTAAAAACATCCATTATCTTCTAGACAGTGATCTTCAGACAAAAACTTATTAATTTCACAGCATATAAATCTGACAAAATACCCGGCTTGGCAATTATTAGAGAATACCATGGATTGAAAGATCAAATGATGACTAAACTTTTCTGCTGTAGATGAATCTAAGTCAAGAACATCTTCTTCTTTGCACACTATATCAAATTTTTGTTTGATAAACATTATAATAATTTTGACGAAGGTTTCTAACATTTTTATACCATTTGATTCTGGATTTTCAATGCGATTAAATTCTAAATCAAAGTATAATTTGCACGGATTATTTTCTGGTATGATCTCATAAGTGTGTCTCTCATTTTGTGGTTTACGAGAGTCATAATACCAAAAAGTTTCAGGATGAGCAACCATAAAATATCGTTGACCATTACTTTGTTCATATGTGAAGGACATACAACCATTTGATTTTGTTTTCGCGTAGTCTAGTGCTTCTTGTTGCCTAGGAAAGTTTTTCCAGCCAATTGGAGGTCCCAGCAACCGTTTAACATTAGTTAAATGGCATGGTTCACGTCTTACCTTTTTAGATGAAGATGTTGATGGTATTAAATGGAACGAACTACGTTTTGATGAACCGTAAAACACTTTAGTAGTTAGACCCGACATGACCCCAGTCAGAACTATTTTCAGATAAAAATCATTGAACAAAATGTACACTATAGAGGTTGTATTTTATTGGGTCATTAGTTTAATAAAAGCCAAAATTAAAAATACTATAAGATAAATAACTAAACGCTAAATAGGCAGCAAATTAAATATAAATTAACGTTTAACCTTTACTCTTTAGTCATAACTCATAAACACGATTTAAGTTATACTTTTGTCAAAATTCATAAACTCGTAATATCTCATATCATCTATTGTTTATTTAAATTTCATTTCTGAGTGATAACCATAACCGTTTGATTTTATCAGAGAATTAGGGAACAAAGTTCAAAAGTGAAAATATCATGGCCACGATTTAAATATAGAAAAATATTATTTTTCTGAGATAATACCATGGAATATTTTTCTATGATAATACTTATGGGAAACATAGACAAGCTAGATTTTCAAGAATATTGTGAAATTTGAATATTAAACGATAGTTGACAGTAGTTGTATATTGTATTATTGCGCCTTCGGTAAAGCGCTGCCTTCTTGATGGAAATACAAGTTAAAATACAACCTAACCTCATAGATGTAAGTAGGGGGGCCCACCGCCCACCTTTCAGCCCACCTAAAATAGTAAAATTAAATATGAATTGAAAACAAGCAAGTTATTTAAATAATTCATTTTTGTTTACTTATATCACAATAGAAAATTTGCTAAGTCAGTTGACACATTTTTAGATCTTCAATATGAAAAAGATTCCTGTTTTGTCAATCATTATAAGGTAAATAGTTCAAACAAAATTCAATTTTTCCTTTGTGTTTGATTCTTTATCATAAACATTTTTGTTTCAGTCTATGTTACAAATTGAAGAAACTGATCTAAAATGTGAACTATTACTGTAGCCGAAAATTCTTTGGAAAACAAAAAAATTAACTGTGAAGCCCTAACTCAGAGAGAGATACTCCATTCTGTTGTTAAATTTGACACATATCCAAATGTCTACAAATGATTGCATATTGCATTGTCAATTCCTATTAGTTCTGTTTCGTGTGAACGATCGTTCTCCTCAATGAGAAGAATTAATACTTATTTAAGGTCAAATATGGCACAAAACAGATTTACAAATTTAAGTATTCTTAACATTGAGCGAGAATTATCAAACACAATTAAAAATGTTGATATTCTTAACCAATTTGCAGAAAAAGATAGGAAAATGCAATTATTTTATAGTAAATATACTTTGCTGGTGGATATTTAAAATTGTATTTCTTTATTGAAAATGTTGGTATTCATAATTGTATTATATTTTCTTGTTCATTAAGAGTAAGGGACAAGGCCACAAGGATATAGTCCTACAACCCCTTCCCTCTTTTAAACATTTTAACTATGGGCTCGAGCCCACTCAATTTAATGGCTCTAGTTACGTCTATGCCTAACCTAACCACATGAAATCAGTAAAATTGCTTCATTTTAAAACACCTTCCTTAATACGTTAGTAATAAAGGGCTTTATCAGTGATTTTAAGCGCATATCCATCAATCGGCTTTTAGTCTGACAAATTGTCCATGGTTATGATTGAAACTACGATGTTTCGATGCATCAGTGCATTCGATGCGCCGAATTTCAGAACGCTTTAGCTTGAAAATACGATGCATTTTAGAACATGTTTTTTCATTTCGATGGCAATACGTATCAGCGTTGTGTTACCGAAGACGCAATAATATAGTTGATTGATGTGTATTTTATAGTAGTGGTTTTAAGTTATAACCATGAACTATGAACTGAGATAATGATCTTACTATCTTATTATCTTCATGTCACATTGTCACGGACTTATCTATATATTAGTCCGTGGTTTATGCTTACAACACGATTTTCCAGATTTTTTTAAAAGAATGGATATTCCGTTTGTGGCGGAATATCGTGGGGACCTCCAATTTAAGCACCGAGTACTAATTAGTAAGATAAATAAATGTATCAATTCCTTATAAATAAATAAATAAATAAATAAATATCATCAATTTATTTTATTATGGTATTGATTATAGTACATAGTACATCTTGATTTTTGTAAAAAAATAATATACATATATCTATATATATTATATTATTATACTCAATTATAGGTATAACATCAAATATTGATTTTCTACAAATTTTTTTTTTTTTTTTAGTTCTCATTAAACAATTTTTATCCATCAATTTTAAATTTTACAAATATGATACTTATGTATTTAAATCACTCTGACACTGAACTAAAATAAAAAAGAAAGAAAGAAGTCCAGCGTAAAAGTAAAATTATTAATAGACATATTTGAAAAAAGAATTTACCTAAATGTTTTAAAATTTCATAATAAAATAATTATTTACAACAATAAGTTTCAGTAATTTATATAATAAATAACATTTATTAATAAATACATAAAAATTGTTGAAAAATAATCATTCCATTTTAATTGATCAATTAATTTATTTCAAATAAGACAATAATATATTATACATATACATATACATAAACAGTATTATAAAATTCGTTCATAAAACAATAAGTAGGCCTGACAGTTTTGAACAACATTTGGTGTTACTTGTCTCACCATACTATCACTGACACAATACCAGGTACCACTTGGAGCTAAATGTGAAGGATCATCATTGCCATCAATAACTTTAGGTGGTTTGGTTTTACTGCCTTCTAAAAATGAATGTCGATAGCTATCATCTTTAACTGAATCTCTGACCTAAACAATATAATATATTTATGTATACAATAAATTTCACATTATCAATAAAATGTTACTAATAAATTAACCATACTTTTACATATGAAAGATAATGTCCACTATGCAAAAACCCATTATGTTCTACAACACCATAAAGAGAGTACAATATTCGGTTTTGACCAGGGCTTAACTTGTTCTAATTAAATAAACAAATTAAATATTCATTTTTGTGGTGTATTTAAAAATATATAAGTGTTATTACGAACTTGACATTTAACAGAGCAGTAAGGAGCAATATCCAAAACCCATTGAAATGATACATCTCTTGTCATTTTACGTGTAGTTGAATAACACATTTGAAACCGTTTTAAATGCAATATTAAAATAGCTGGAGGAGAACTAATTAACATTTGTTTGGTACTTTGGCGATAAATAGTCTTCTCTTCGTTGGTTTCTATGAAAAATAAATTAAAAATAATCACAATTCAATAAAAATTGTAATATGATTTATATTAAAACCTTACTTTTTTTGTGTTGTTCAGTGCACCTTTCACATGAAACTTTATTATTACCAGTCATTATTTCAGAGGCAGTAAATTGATTAAGACAAGTCAACACCGAGCACTCGCTATCTTTACATT